TTGTTCAGTTATTTTTTTGGTTTGTTAATGTTCTGCCAATTGCAGATATTTAGTAGGGATTTTTAAAAAAAACTGTCTGTTTCAGATACTTATAGTTATAGAATAACAAAAGTTTCAGAAATCTTTGTGCTACTAAAAACATAACATTGAAATTAAAAATAACAAATAGTTTTTTTTAAAATAACAATATTTGTTTATTCTATATCTAAAGGCAGTGCCTCATAAACAAACTCCTTGTATGCTCATTTAACATTTAATCCTCTAAACATGGTTAATAACAGACAAATACAGTAAGGTTTATACAGACAAGGTAAGGTTTATATAGATTTGCATTTTATAATAATTTTTTTTTTTCCCTCAGAGAAGTGTTTCAGAAGAAAGACCAGACCAAGTTGCAAAGGTTCAAAACCAAGTTGATGAACTCAAAAGCATTATGGTAAAAAATATTGGTAAGTTTTAATTTTAAGCATTAACAACTACTTGAGGTAGTATATATTTAACCCCTTAATTACTTCAGGTTTATATCATTATTTTCAATTTCTTTTGGGGCCTGAAACTCCACCTCCCACAATCTCCACTTTCTCTTGTATAGCCCAGTCAAAACCAGCTCTTTTCCCTTGCCTTTACAATTATCTCCCTTACTACCTACACTTTACTGTCTTTTTCACCCGATCCTCCATTTTCTCTGGTATTTCTTGTAATTAGGTCAACCAATGGTTACAACTCTGCACAGCAAGCATTATTTCATCTTCCAACTCTTCTCGCTTATTAGCCTTACTACATTTTAATACCTCAATGGACAATATTTTATATTTTCTGTCATTTTTTTCCAGACCAATTAGCTGAAAGAGGTGAAAGATTAGAATTGCTTGTAGATAAAACAGAGGATCTCAATGCCAGTGTAAGTGGTGCACAAAACACTAAATTTATTAGCACCCTATCAGTATTAGTATTTTACTATAAGTTATTATATGTGTTAATGTTACTGTTAATAGTGTTAGTAATAAAAAAAAAATATGAATAATTAAAATACAAACCTTTTGAAAATGTAATTTTATTCATTTTTTTTATTTTAACTTTTTTTAAAAACTTTTTTTATTTCAAATTTTAAACCAACAAGATTATTTTCTTAAGGCCTAATTTTGCATTGCTTCTGATGCAAATTAATATTTAAAAGTAAAATTTTGTACTTTAGTGTAAATGAGAGTACCATAAATTTAACACCCATGATAGTTATTATTTTTGAAAGCATTTATTCTGAATCACCATATTTTATTTTAGTCTGTAACTTTCAAGAAAACAAGTCGGAACTTAGCCAGGTCATTGTGGTGGAAAAATGTAAAGCTAATGGTCATCATTGGTGTAGTTTTAATTGTAAGTTGATGGTCAGCATCTAGATATATTGATATTTAATCAATGCTAGCATTTGGGCATTTGAACTTCTACTTTATAAAAGCTCAACGTTAATGAAAGCTTAAATGTTTTGTAATAAACACATAATTTCTTAACCTTAAATGTTCTTGTAGGTAAGTGTTATCTTCTTAACTTATCTGTTATGAGCCAATGATTTATTAGTGTATTATTTTAGAGATTAAGTATAGAGTTCTTCATCTTAATTATTCATATAAGTGACTTTTTGTGGAAACAATATCTTTGCTTAATTTGTTTCTTCTTTCTGCAGGTTGTCATTTATTTTATTATCTCTGCTGCTTGTGGAGGACTGGACTGGCCATGTACAAAATAAGAAACATTTTCAAATGTACATTGCTCCTGCATTTAATTCATTACACCACTTTGGTATTCTAAAATCTCTGAAAATTCACCATCTGCGCAAGATAATTTTTTAAGCAAAGAGTTAAATTTGCTATGTCTTTGGTCATTTTATTAATTATTTTGATTAAAGATTCTGAAGATTTGAAACAGTCAAGCAATACGATTGTCAGTTTAGGTATGAACAAACATTTGCTATAAAATTTTTCAAGGATTAATAGAATTCAAAAATAGATTTCAGTGCAGTTGTCAGCCTTCAAGCATTTTAGTGACCATTATTCAGCAAGAAAAGCAATTTGGGACGTGGCTTTTCAGGGGTCAAGAGAGACACATGCCAAGAGACCTTTCTTTAGCCCTCCCCTCCATTCCTGATAGAGTTACAGAATTCCCTTATTATAGTTAAAAAACTGTTAGCTGGAATGCTCCAAAAGTATGTTGAAAACTAACGATGTTCATTCATAACTGCTCATAGATAATTTTAAATGTTTCTTTAGAATGTTATTAATCGCTGATCTTTTAGTTTGTAGTTTTACATCCCTGTTTAGATTTGAGGTCTCTTTGAGTATGAGAACAATGGCCCCAGCTGACATCCCACTTGTGATTTGGTTTGTTTATTATACCTATAAAGTTTTCAGACTTTATTTTTCTCTACATTTCCTTGTGAAAAAAATTATGGGTTGGATGCAATTCTGTTCTAAGATTTTATCCTTAATTTATCCACTCTGGCTCATATTCCACTGGATGCTCTTTGCCATTTTTAAATTTGGATGTATAATTTATTTTTGTAGTCCTATCAAGCACCAAGATTATTAGTTTAAGACTATTCACTTATTGTCTTTTGGGCATTGATCCTGACAATCAGCTGAAGGAGATGAAGATTTGAAGAAAGTCTCTTTTATTGTAATCCAGCTTGATTTTTAACCATATAGAAAAGTTCATGAACTTCAAATAAATTACCTGGCGGGTTTGTTATAAAAAAAATTACATTGAGAATCCTTGCATTTTTTCACTATAATTTTGTTTCTGATACAAAATGATTTCTAATCTCTTTTTCTTTTTATAATTATGTTTAGAGGCTTCTTGTGATCAGTCATCCTATTTACTGAACATTGATTTGCTCGTCGATTAAACAATTTAAAAAAACACATTGATTTTATACTATTGTATAATTGATAAATTGAAGTACCGGCACACAAGAAATCAAAGGAACATCGGCTGTGAAGTTTTAACTTGATTTTAATTTGCTTTGTAGGGAGGCAAAAAGATTTGGGGGGTTCAACATTTAAACTAAAAAACTTTATTAATTCAACACATGTGTGGACACTATTCTCATGACACTGGCTTTTCCAAATTTCGAGTGTAGTTATTTAACATATTTACACAACATATGTTAATGTTTATAGAAAGTAAAGCTTCTTAGTTCTGTTTTTAAATTATAAATATATTTCATATACTGTACAATGTTGCTGGCATGCTGATGGTCTGCATTGTTCACCAAGATTAAAGTAAAAGTTAGATTGTTTACATATTTGAGAATGAGAGTCTTACAGGTTGCTTTTATTTTACATTTTTAAAGAAACAAAATACCATTAAAGCACTAATATTTACCAAGCCAACCTGCATTAACAATGCTTAAATGATAAATGTAATACAGCTCTCCACACAAACCCAAGGGACAGTTCGTTTTTGTTTTCTTTAAAAATGTGAACATTTTGTGTAATGCAATATTTTATTTACCTGAAATTTTAGTATCCTTGTATATAACATTTTATGATTTTTGTTGATGCAAAATTTTGATATTGTTAATAAAAGAAATAAAATATGTTTTTTGTCATTTCTTGTACTTTGGGAGGTAACTAGGGTTTCTGTGAGTTGAAAAAACAAATTGGTCATAATAAATAAAAGTGAACCCGAGTCAAGAAGGTTTGTTTCCCTCTTTATAAAACTGCCCATTCCTGATTAATGCACGCAAAGTAGTGCTCTGAAAGGAATATCACGACTGCAGGAACACTAATGCTGTTATTTACTAGAACTGGTGGTACTGGAAGTGATTTAGAGAAAAATACATGCTTTGAGCTTCAGGGATAACTTTAGTAACATTAAACGTCCCCCCGGGGTGGTAAGGGGGGACTTTAGAGACGTTAAATATCCACCCCAACCCCTTAGAAAGTCCGGCCCTGTTGCTGCGTGAGCAGCAATCCGGCTGGCCAGGTGTTTCTTCTCTGGGGCTGCCACACTCAGCGGCCAATCGAGTGGAGGTCGAGTGTGGCGGTCTTAGGGGCGGAGCGTCCCTGGCGTGCCGCTTCGCGGCCCGATCGGAATAAAGACCACTGGGGGAGTGGTTGACGGCCGGTTTGGTTGGCGGGGTGGTGCGTTGGGGAGGACCATATGAGCCTCAAGGCTCGGTGTTCGCTGATTTTCTTAAGTTAGTTAAGGCCCGATCGGAATAAAGACCACTGGGGGAGTGGTTGACGGCCGGTTTGGTTGGCGGGGTGGTGCGTTGGGGAGGACCATATGAGCCTCAAGGCTCGGTGTTCGCTGATTTTCTTAAGTTAGTTAGTTAGTAACATTAAACTGTAGTTCCAAAAAGTTTTTTTAAATGTGTGTTAATGACTTAACAGTGAGGCTGGACATTAGTGAAAACTATGTAATACTTAAAAATATATATAAACTAGACATATAAATGTGCAATATTTGAATGAAAGAATTGGTATACTGTATCAGTATCTGTATCTCTCATCAGTACTTAAAGTCTTTAATGTAGGCCTGATACTGATGGTGATAATGATATTTACAATTTAATATTATTGTTGCAATTCAACAAATTATATTAATATTTCTATATTAGTAATTAGTTTTACTCCTCAACTTATTGGAGGATTTTTTTCAGAACTATGCCATGGGCCATGGACTTAAAAAACGGCCCCTCCTCACCTATAGTTATAGCCTATGCCTAATACTTAAACAATTTTTAATACTCTATAGCCATAGCTAATTTGACCAAGTTAATGTCAGACCTATTTTAATAGAGTAAGGCCAAAAAACTATTCAAAATATAATAAATATTGAAGATAATTTTATTTTTCACACAATTATGAAAAATGTACATAGATCATTGCATAAAAAAATAAAAAACAAAAACAAAAAACTACCGAAAATCAATTAGTTTAGAGTCTAGTTGAAGTGGGATTGTCGTGGAAATAGATAATCGAAAAAAAAAAGAAAATGTTAAAATAGTGTTTAAAAATGGCATCACACCAACTATGTTTGTAAACAAAAAATTACTTTGCTCATTTGCTGTTTAGAAAAATAATGGTGAAGAAAATGAAGCGAGTAGAACGTTCAGAAGCACGGACTGTCTCAAAAAAGTGTCCAGACTGCGACCATCAGGTACAAAATGAGACGTCACTTGTTAATTTAATTGATGATTTCAAATTTAGGCCCAGCGCTGTCACGGCCGGGTTAATAAGTGGATAATGTGAGTTAAACTAAACCTAAACGCCAGAAAAATTAATTATATGGCCTCCAAAATTTTTAATATTTTTACTTGAGGCCTAGACTAACTACTTATGGGCCCATCCATAAGTGATGCCAAGCGTCTAAGAGGGTGAGGGGGTCCTCAAGCAATGTGATGTCACATAAAAATATACAGAATTGCACTTCATAACCCTAAATAGTAAATTACAGACATTTTTAACATTATTCTTTTATACAACAATTATAAATATGTTATTTTTAAACTACTATCACTGAGAGAATCAGTACAGTTATGCGAAAATGGCCTCCCTCTGATCAAGTTACAAGACGCCAAGGAGGAGAATCGGGCAGTAGTTACAATGACAGTCATGAGAATTTATGGCTAAAAAGTGCACACGGGAGTCATAGAATTAAGACTACCACGTGATGTGGGATGGAGGAAAAAAAAATGGATGACATTTGACAGGGGGGGGGGGTTCTTAGTAAAGTGGGGGGAGGCCCACTCGCCCACTCCGTTTTAACCCTTTCATTACCGCTGGTGTGACATCAATTTTTGCTGACTCAGCAAAACAACTTTTTAAAGAAGAAACTTTCGGTATTTTTCATTCTCTATCCGATTCGCTTATTAAATTCTCTATTGATTAACGAATAAAGAAATATATAGCATTGAAATATGACGTCCTTGGTATTTCAGAAAATTTCTTTGCCTCTTTGTTTTGACGACAGTGTGGTAATTGAAAGTGGGTGATCGTGACATCTCGTCGACGTCATCGGTAATGAAAGGATTAAACATCACCCCCAACCGTATAAATTATATTGTAATAAAATTAAAAATAATTTTAAAATTTAGTTATCGTAGTTTTGTTTCTTTAATTAACTTTTTATAAATATAGCAAGGAAAAAAATTGCCAATACAAGCAATGTGCCAACAAAATTCACCAGAAAACATTTACTGCGCTAATCAAAATGCATAAAAACTTATTTAAAAAAAAAAAATGCAGCAACAAATATAATGGCAGGTAATACAATCAGTGGCGTAGCTAGGGTTGGTCACCCGATCCGGAAAGCTCATGGTGTCCACCCCCGACTTCCAGGATGCAATTTAATTGTTCTTGTTAAACTTAGTCCTCAGTAAAGCAAATAAAAGAACAAAAACAAATTAATTGAAGGTCAGGAAGTAAATGTATTTAAGAACTGTGGCATGTACTTAGAATCACCCACTGTTATTAAAGGATAGCTTTATTTCTCAGATTTTAGAGAAATATAGTTTCCTGTCATTTACAAAAGAACCGAACACTTCATTCTGCGGTGAATCATGGTCAACCTAATAATAAGGTAGCCTATTTGCTGAAACATCATGCTTGAAATTTTAATGAAACATGCATTTTGATTGTTTACATGGGTGGAAAATGTACGTGTCATCTATTATCCTTTTATGAATTTCGGTTAGACCGAGCAGTGTGTGCTCTGTAAATAGGCAATTTTTCAATTTGGGGTGTCTAACTATTTGTGACGAGGGGGGGGTTAAAAAATCATCAAAATTAGCGTGACGTCATTTATTAATGGCCCCTTAGTAAGATTCAATTTAATTAACGGTTGGCTAGCAAGGCCTATTATACTCAAGTGGCCTCTAGGCTAGGACATTTGGCCTTTGGTTAGTAGTTATTAATATGTCAGAGTTCAGAGTATTAGTTTATTTATAATTCTTAAAATAATGGGAAAATCTGGGAAAAGTGTGCAACAAAACGTTTTGTTGCATTCTTTTTTCAGGTTTTCTCTTCCTTTGTTTCGCTCATTTCCATTGATTCAAATGACGCTGATGTCCACACACACTTGAGAATGTGGAAAATGTGAATACTCGCAAAGCACAAACTGAAAAGACAGATCTTTTCACTTCTTATTTATACGAGTTCATGTTCTGCAACTGCTTTCATGGAAATGATAATTTTTTAAAACGTCATTGTTACCTTGGTGGAGAACTATGCATAATTTTATTTTCATACATTAAATTGTTTAAATTTTTCTACTTTAAAACTTTTGAAATTGTTTTAGTTTTTCTAGATCTATATAAAAATTTGTTTGGGGATTATTTGATGTGCTGAAATGAACATGTACAATTTCATAGAGAACCAATTCATCGGTTTGGATCATCAATAAATTAATAATTTTTAAATAGCTTTTCAAACTGGAAAAACTTGATTTTTTTTATAGCCGGTGCTCAAGTGGTAATTACCAAAAAAAATATAATTCTATCATCATCATCATCAATGGCACTACAGCCCATGTAGGGCCCTGGCCTGATCCACTACATCCTTCCATTCGGAGCGATCCATGGCTTTCCGTCTCCATGCTCGAACCCCCAACTGGTGTAAATCTGTCTCCACATCATCAATCCACCTCATCCTTGTGCGACCGATTGAGTCGTCTGCCCCTAGGCTTCTTCCTGTATATAATTTTGGCTGCTCTGCATTCCGGCATCCTTTCAACATGACCTGCCCAGCGTATTCTGCCTTTTTTTATCATTGTGACTATGGGTGGTTCTATTTCTATCAGTTGTACAAATGTATAGAATTAACTTCAACAAAGTCATTTTTTAAAAAAGGGTGGTGTTGAGTAAATGAGAAGCGCCCTAAGTATAATATGCTATAAGTAGAGCACGAAGCGCCATAATTTTATTAAGTTTAAGCATATTACAGTAATCGCACGATGAGTAGGTGCACTACTTCCTTCCTTACATTATAGACTCATAGGCCTAAATCAGAATTTGCATAGCCTTAGGCGCATTAAGCAGCTTTTGAAAATAAAATTATAACTTTAAAAAAAATTATTCATTTATCCTGACGTCACACATCGGGTGCTCTTAATAACACTTAATTGCAGGCATTTTTAACTTTATTCTTTTATTCAAAAATTATAATTATTTTATTTTTAAACTACTAGCCCTGAATGCAAGGTCCGAAATATGGCATCTGATCAAGTTACGGGCTGCCACGGAGAAGGAGAATTGGGGTGTAGTGACATTTGACAGTCATGAGAATTTATGTCTAAATGTGGAGATGTGAATTATAGAATTAGGAAGGCTACCACTTGAAGTGGGATGGAATTAATAATGGTTTACTGGGGCGGTGGCAGCTGATCTTGGTAAATATTCTAGGCTGGGTGTTCTTAACCATTTTGCAGCATTCCCTATCAAAATCAATTTCAAAACATTTTCAGCAACCCACCCCCACATAAATTATATTGTAATAAATTTTGTAAAATTATAATAATTAAATAATTTAGTTATTGTCATTTTATTTCTGTGATTAATTTTATTGAAACAATGTAAAGGACAGTAGTGGGAAGAGGGATTTTTAATAGGAGGGGGTAGGAGAGGTTTGTGATGTGACAATTGAGGTAGGGGGATTAACTTTTTGTGACAATGGTGTAAAAAAATTTGCCATCATTTATAGATGGCCCCATAACCCTTTTGAGATGGAGTATTTTGGAGGATCTGTGCCAAGAAGACAGAGTCCTTTTTACAAGTTTGGCACAAAAAATTTACAAAATAATTCTTTACATTATAAAACTATATATATTCTTGTAGGGAATTGAATGAAGTAATATGATCTTTATGAATCAAACTTAAATTTCAACATTTTTGCAAAAGAGGTACAAGTGGTACCTCGGGTTACGAACCTAATTCATTCCAGAACTCGGTTCATAACCCAAAACATTGAAATCAATAAAATAGAGACAGTTTCATGATGAAAGAATCTTTCTTTTTTATTAATATCCGGACATTTACTTGACAAAACACAAAGAATATGTGTACTTCATATACTAAATAAAGAGAAAGAAAACATCCAAATAAATTTAATGTAAAATACAAAAAAGATTTAGTCTATGTTTCTTACCAAGAACACGATTATGGGAAATTTATCACTTTCTTTGCTATTCTGAATCATTCGTTTCAGGAGTTTCTTGGCAGCCAATGGGGAATCTTTCTGCACCAAGAAACTATCAAGGGAAATTTGTTGCTTCCTTTGCTGGAGAACCTTTCCAAAGTGGCCACTTGCGTTATCATTCATCGGTTTTACTGCCAACTGCTATCTCTCTCTCTCTCTCACCTTCCCCGAGGCACTATTTGTTAACCGAGACAAAAAAATTTTGAAGTTGTTGTTCGTGACCTGAATCTTGAATTATCGGGCTGATGGATTCGTCTTTTTTGCCATTTGACCCTGGGCTGATATGTCTTCCCAGCCGTCCCAATAGGGTTAAAATTTTGATCTTGTTGTCTTACATAAAAATACATGCATATTTGAACTGGCTTACTGCTAATAAACAAAATATAGGGCCCAGTGGCGTAGCGGTTTATTGTCTCTAAGCCATGCTGGAAGACATGCCGATGACCCCCTTGCCTCGCATAGTTACAGCTGCAGGTTTGTTTATATAGGGCAGGACCTAAGATGCTGAAGGAGTCACTGGCATATGTAACTTATTTAAACTTGATACACAGTGACAGCAGGGCTCCGATCATGAACCACAGGAGTAATCTTATTACTTTTTAATGATGAAGATTGTAAATTTGAAATAATAATAAAGTTCTTGTACTTAACCTTACAATAAGAAAATGATGAGGTTTACCAATCCCGGGTGAGCTCCCATGTCAAGATCCATATTTGATTTCTTTCTTTCATCAGATTCTATTACCCATTCATATGTCGTAATCACACCGAATTGAAACAAATCCTCTTTCCATTAGCAATGTAACTTTAATCTAGAAACCATTTCAATGTAACTTTAATCTAGAAAACATATCTATCATGCTGCACTTTTAATCAAACACATGTTTATCACATTTGACTATAAGAATAAGAATGAGAAATAGTGCACTACCATTCATGATTCACTTGCAAGGTTCTTTGAGGACTTCTAATTAATATGCACATACGCCAAAAAAGTCTAGACAATACATTATAATTACAATAAATATACTTCACCAACTTAATGGCGGGGAAAGCATACATTAAATATTAACTCTCACAACACACCACTCACAATATAACACAATATCTGGTGCACAACAATTACTAGTGAATTCCCATACATGGCAAATCTCCCCCCCCCCCACCCCAACCACCTTCCATTTCAGATTTAACTCACAGAGTTAAATTGATAGCCATTAAAAAAATTTCCCCATAAACTATGATAAATATAATTAGAAACCATTGGAAAAATTAAATTTCCTGTACCAAAAAATGTGTGATTTAAGAAGTATTGACTTATTATTAACACATGGTTATTAACATTACAGTATATAATTTGACACCATTCTTAAACAAAATATGTATCTATAACCAATTATATAATTAGAAGCTGGAGTAAACCTGCTGTAAACAAAGAACAACAGGAAAAACTGACTGAAGAGCTCACTGTTTCAATAGTTTCATGTATCATGGTTTTAATTTTTTAAACGTTTAGGTTGGAGAACTACAGCATCACACAGGGTAGGGGAAAACCTGAAGAAAGATGAAACAAAGCAGATTTAAATGTTATACTTTTATTCCAGTGTCCAGTGGCCGTTAAGGCGTGCACAAACTGTGGTTATTCATTTACTAAAACTCGGCCACAGAGCAGATCACAAACAAAACAACAGAGAAATGCTACAAATTCTTCAAGTACAACAGTTAGGACATCGAAAGAAACAAGAGAGTCAAAAGGTTTGCAAATATTAACTATTAAAAGAGGTAAGCTTTTGAAGCCTATTGATTTATCGGTTACAAAGTTCATTGCATGTGTCAATATACACTTTACTGGACCTAATTTAGTTTTCATAATAATCACATATTGGTGTTACTGACAAGAAATGTTTTAATAGAAATTTTAAAATATCCTATTTACAACACTTTGAGATATACTAAAAAAAGTTTAGGTTCAACTTCAACTAAATCATTTTCTTTTTCTTTCAGCATCCACGGCATCTAGTTCCACATCAAGCACACCCCCAGAAGCAGATCCAAATTTAGATAAAGTGGGGCGCAGGTTTCGGACGAAACGAATGAGGCCAGACTATTTCAATTCTCTGGAATTAGAATATGCATCACGAACTTTCAGACAGAGAAAGCCAGTTAGTTACTTGTTAGCCAAAAAATGTTTGTTTATTATATGATAATTAACAAAGCATTATTCTTAAGAGTGAAATATCTACTAAGAAAGTAAAATATCTAGAATTTAACCTATATTGCTTGTGAAAAAATGGGATCACATTACATATATGAGATATTCAATTTTGTAATATGGACGAAAAAATCTAAGTGCTTGAAATGTTTTTATTACACAGAAAGAAGAAAAGGAGTTGAAAGGTAAAAAAAAGCGAGGAAGGCCGAAGGGTACTACAGGTATTCCCCGCAAGCCTAGAGAGGAGAAGAAAAAAGAGGAAGATGGTAAGTTTTAAAAGATAATGTATGTTTTAACTATGCAGACTATATAATTAAGTGATTCAATAAATAAGTAGATCTTTTAATATTTTTTTATGTACACAATATTACAAATAAGAAGGGGAAAAAAAAAAAACTTGCTTACCATTCATTTTCACATGTTAGCACTCTAGGTTTTTTATAGGGGCTCATCCATTGATTATATGTATGTACTGTGGAGTGAGCATTGCGGGAGTAGAATTTGTGTATATATGCTAGACTTAGAGCCATAGAGGCTTAACACCGTACTTTTAATAATTGTATCAAAATAAATATTTTTTTCAGATGTAATTCCCCTTTTTGCCATGTACAACTTGTTGCTGTCAACAAGTCGATGTATTTGTCGTCAGTGTTCCTCCATCACAAGTACTTTGAAGTACAAAATAAATATGTTTGTATAAATAGGAAGTGATTTATTTATGTTCTTTTTTTTCAGAGCCGAAGCCACTTCCGGAGCTGGATGATGTGTATGTGAACTTTTCCCCAGAGAGACTGCAGCAGTTTTCATTTATTCTTGACGAGATCAACTTTAAAATGACTAGCACTATGTTTAAACCAGTTTGAGTTATTGAGTGTGTGTGTGTGTGTATTTGTTTGGCGTGATTACGATGGAGTGTTTGATAAAAATATACTGTTATTGTGAGAAAGCTATGTTGGCATTCCTGTAGTTGCAAGACACATAAGGTTAATCATATGTCTCAAAAGAAATAAATAATAGTTTGCGTCTTACAACTTACGTTGAAATATGACTCAAAAACATTTCAACTTATTATTTATGCGGAATAAAAAACTGTCTTTTATTATGTTGAACAAATGACTGATTGATTCATAGACATTATCTGTATTGAATTAATATTTTTACTTGTTATTTGTGCATGGTCTTTATATTTATTGTTATAGTTTATAATTATTATTCAAAACCGGCAAAAAAAAGTCAGTGGTTAATTGATGACATTCTTTAACATCTTAATTTTTGGGCATTTTGAATATTCTAATATGTTTTTAACAACTGCCATTAGTTAAATTATAACAAAAGTCATTTCCCAATTAATTCAACTTTTATCCGATCTTTTTTTTTTTAAATTTAAAGTTTGTTTAAATAAATGAAACTTTATAATTTATGGTGCAATTTTAACAAGACTGAATGAAAAACGAATGATTCCTCTTGACAGAGGAGAAAGTATGAATTTTCAAATGTTATTGCTTATGTGAAACATTAAAATGATATTTCTGTTGACCAATTAATAAAAAAGGTAACTTGGTCAATAGGCAATTGTACATGGTCATGGCAATTTTGTACTTGGTCCATTACAGTTTTCTATAAATGCACTCTGAATTTAATTTCATTGCTATTTTTCTGACATCACTGCCTCTTCTTTAAAAATAAAGAATTATTATAAAATTTTAGATATTTGTTGATACATTGATAAAGTTATTCTCAATATGAAAATATTTATTAATCTGCACAAAAGAAAAACTACTGATCCACTTCAATTTCTTCTTTCTTTTTTTTAAATATTTATTTTATCTATAAAATATAATAAAACTTCAAATTTAATTAAGTTTCATCAAATATAAAATAAATACTAGGTAATTTTGTTAGCTTAGCAGTACCACAAGTATATTTCAAACATTTCAAAATAGGTAATTGGGCCTACTCAATAATTTTAAAATCTATTAAATGACCATCTGGTGTTTAATGAAACCAAAACAGTCTACTGTCGTCTTTAATGGGATCGCCTGCAGGCTCGGATCTTCAGACAGCAGATTCTTCTTTGTTAAACTACATCAGGTCTCTGAGACAAAAGCCTATGCATTCCTAGGGATGTCCGCTTGAATGATCTCCAGGGAGGGCCTAGTACAGTGCCTTCAATGTCTGTTATGTCAATCCAGATCATTGTCACATTTCTTCATTGGAGATTTTAAAAATTTAGATTATTTTTAGATAAAGTTTTCAATACAGCCTCTAAATGGAAATCCTAAATACTGTTCCAGTATTAAACAGAAACTCGTCCCTCTCCCCTATAGACAGCGACGAGGCCATGACAGGCTATTCCGGCTCATACCAGCCAGTATAGGAACTGCTCATTCCTGCCGAAGACAATCAGGGACTGGGACAAGCTTTCAAAAGAAACAGTTGAGGCGACAACACTAGACACATTTGTGTCTATTGCCTCAAGGCTTTCAACCCCCAGTGCATGATTCCCTCACAAAGTAGCACATGCAATCAGTGAAATAACCTCATCAACACCAGGCACAGAAACATTGCAAATTCCATCTACATGCATAGGAGCCAAAATGATCAATAAATTGATTGTGGGCCCTTAATATATAGAAGAAGAAGAATAGGAACAATGATTGTGTGAATTACCTGTACATAGGTTTTTAAACAAACAAATATTTGTCAAAACTTTAAAAAAGACTTTCTTTCAGAGAAAAATTTAAATGCAATAAAAAAGTTGAAAATAATTAAAATGCAATACGTCAAGAAAACCTGTGTGGAAGGGTAGAGATGTAGATCTAGTGAGGTTAAAGAATTCGAATGAAGACAAAATTTAAAACTATTTTATTTTTGTTAAGTTTTAAAAATATTTTATGCACAGACTTTCTTTGCATAATGCATTTTTTTTAAATTAAAATTTTTTCTCTACTTTTTGGTACGTTTAAACTTGTCTTTAGAGGAAAGTTTTTTTAAAATGATTTCTGCAATACTATTTAAAATTTTCTACTTAAAATAGTATGAAAATTATAGTCTAAATTATCAATAAATTAAGATTTGTTTTAAATGAATGCTTATCAAATCCAGGTTAAAGCGACAGTTTGTTACCTGGGTATGAAACTAAAAAGTAGAATTTAACAACTGCAGCTTATTACACTCCCTGGTGCTTGCTATCAGTACAGTGGCGTAGCGAGGGTGTTTGGCGCCCGGGGACAAGATTCGCGCCCGGGGACAAGATCCATTTTTAGCGCCCCTTTTTCTTTTTTTCAACTCTCAAACCCATTATTTTCATCAATAAAATAATATCAAAGCACATTTTGGCGCCCCTAACTAGCTGGCGCCCCATATTGAAGGCGAAGAGGGGGTGTTTTTTTTTTTTTTTTTAAATCTCATTTTCTTTTTCCCCATCACCCTTACCCCTTTGGACCCACATAACTGAAGCTCTAAATATGTCATGTGGCAGCAACTCTGGTCAGCACAAGCCACACCCGATAACGCTTGGCGAGAGGGTCACGTGTGACAACAAAGTCGGGTTCATAAACTTGACGGATTGGTGAGAGAAAGTAAGTCTTCAACTTCAAGGGTAGATCTAACAAATGCGACGTTTTATAACTGGTCGCTAGCTGTCCGTTGCTCCAAGTCTAATTGCCATATTCCCTACCCCTACACCCTTCCGAATCACCCCCTCCCCTAAATTCTTCAGCTCTGCCCTACCCAACCTTCTATCACCCAAGAAGACGCGATAAACCACGATCAACTGAGCGAGAGGGTCACGTGTGTAGGTACGTCGTGTGACAGAATCTCAGTAAAAGTAGGCTACAAAGTTACAAACTCCATGTTCTGGTTCTGGTAATGTTTTGTTATTGCATCCATGTACTGGCATCTTTGCAACGGTTGGGGATATGATGTTGCTATTCTAACAGCTCCTAGCTGATGCCACGGCAGCCTTGAAGCTTTCGACCGATGTCGAGTTCACAGTGGCATCGTTCAGGTGGTTCCATACTATTATTGTGCGTGGGAAGAAAGATTGTTGATACTGCACTGAGGCACTTTGAAGCATTTGCTATTGTTTCTGATGTAATTGTTTATGGGAATGTCAGTGGTGAAGTCAGTGTTCAGTGAGCATTTTGCTCTGATCAGTCTACCCGGCTTCTGTGGGGTGAGGTGCGTGCCTGCTGGGATGGCCGGCACCAGTCCCGAGTCCCGTGATCACTTTATATAAGAATATCAGGCGGAGTCCCTCTCGTCTGTATTTGCGAGTACGGGTAGAAAGATTGTCGTTAAAAAAGGGCAAATCCATTTTTTGTGCCATGCTCCTCATCAAGCCTTCTAATTGTCAAATGCGCAAAAAAATTATGATTACGCTTACATTTAACTTAGCGATCATTTAAAATTATCTTTTCTAAATAAAAGATTTTACATCCAGTCCAATATTTAAAAACCTTTTCTCCTGAATGAAATGTTGCCTGTCAACCTGTAAACAATATGGCGGCTCCCTAGACCCTCGAAAGATAGAAAACTTTTTCAAGCCTGTAAAAATCTTATTTAAAGAAATTAATGCTTGTAATTTTATTTCTACAAATTTTACATACTTTTAAAAGTTGCTGTTATGAAATTAAAATAAAAATAAATAAATAAGTTTCCCTTTTTAGTTGTTTTATCGGATATTTAGTCAATTTAAATTTAGAAAACAGTCAATTTAAATTTAAAATGTTTAAATTTTAATTTTGGCCTTGAGACGTTGTTAGAATATACTCTAGTCTCTATTTCTTTAAACTTAAAATGGCAACATATTTTAAAAATCTTTTTGTCTGAGGTTTAGTGGCGTTTGTTTTATAAATGTATTTTTGAGAAATATTTCATTGTTAATTTTAATACTAATACCAATACCAAAATGATATTTATTGAAGGGATGCTATTGTCATTGAGTTTTATTGACATATTTATCATATTATCATATTAAATTTTGTTAGTAATGTTTTCATCATCATCATCATGTCCCTTGCCCTTAGTCCTAGGACCGTTGGGGCGCCACAGATGACACGTAAACTATCCTCCTCAATTCATCTCTATCTTCTGCACTTCGCACAGCATCACCCAGTTTTAGTCCCGTCCATTCTTTGATGTTATCTTACAATTTTTTTCTCTGTCTTCCTCGTCTTCTCCCTCCTCTCGTTATGCCCTGCATTATTTCTTTGGCGAGATGAAAGTTAGGGCTAAATTAAATTTCAAATTCAATAAAAAAATTAAATAAATAATTATACATCTCAAACTATAATAATAGTTATATTTAATTTCCCAACCAACCCAATCTATATTAATATTACCTTTCATTGATTGGCATTGGCTAATTAGTAAAGAATTTTGTAAACAAATCTTTCGACCTAATACTAATATTATCGTAAGCTTAATAGTCTCATGTTACCACTTTACTTTATTAAAATTAAAATGTTTTAAATACCGGTATCTAATACAGAGAAAAAAATTATTTCATTTCAATAAATGCATTGGTTTAAATTTTGATTTTTAAATATTCAATTTACCTGAATTACATTTTATATTATCAGTCTAACTCAAACTAACAGATGTCCCCTGCCCCTTGCTTGCTTTAATAAAGCTCTGGTCTGGTTGGAAGATGTCATTGAACAGGTTTGTGGAAGTTATAATAAATTTAATAAAGCTATAATGCTAGAATAAAATAATGGTATATCACATTTTTAGTTTCATTGAGATAAACACTTATAAAAAAATTATTCACCTATTCTGAAGCCTCTTTTGAAAACAGATAAGTTTTGAAATGTATTTTATTCTGTATTGTTAATTGTTATAAATTGTTGATTTGTACATAGTAAAGTACATTGGCTCATTCTCAAAACATCAGTGTTAAATTGATATGATGTAGAACAGAACATTTATTCATGTAAGGCACTTACTGATTTTTAAAGGAATAAAAAGGAGGCGCTTCTGTGCATTTTATTTTGCATGCCTAATGTGCACAGATATATATATCTAGATAAAAATAATTAGAATTAATTTTAGATTAGTTTTCCATGTTCTTTTAAAAATGACTGAAACATCTTTGTTGCCAGTAATCCGTTTTGAGGTATGTTTGTTAAAATTGGGTCTGAAAAATCCATTCATCACCCATCATAAATAGCCTAAAATATATATCACCAATAATAATTGCATTATTTTTCTTTTTATAAATTTTTCTCTTTAAGATGCAGATGGTTAACTAATAAGTTTTAACTAAGCTTGTTCAGAAGATATCATTGTTCTACTAGAAAAACTTGTCAAATATTTGATCAAGCTGAACATTAAAAATGGATGATCAAAATTATACTAAGACCCTAAGAGAGGGAGGCAGAACAATTCGCATGAACACCAACAGAAGGGAGGATCTTATATTACAACAGGAGCTTGAAGATGTGAATAAGAAAATAACCATCAACTTACACTCATTAAAAGAACTGAAAAAATTGGAGGCACCAACTGAACATGATCTTTTTAAAAGGTAAATATTTATATTTTGTTTTATCAAACTGTAAACAGTTTTTAAAAAATGTTTTCCAGAGTTTAAACATATTTTAGAATTCCATATTAACTTTTTATCTCACTGTTACTTATTGGGGAAGGGATTCCATAGATCAGCGGTTCTAAATCTTTTTGTCACTCAGCACCCTATCTCGATTTTGAAATATATTTTCCTCACCCCCAAATGATAAAAATGCGAATAAAAATACTAATA